GATATATGTGACCAAATTGCATATACCGTGACATTAACAATTGTCGAAATCGGAGCAGTAATCAGAATTAACAGGCCGCAGAACGGTCACCGGAGTAGTCACCGAAGCGGTGGTGGTGATGGAGGTGGGGGGTTAATTATATTATATTACAGTTAAATATTTAATTTAATATAATAATTGTGAAATACAATTAATTAATTCATGAAAAACCTGATTTTTGCAAGTCTAAACTTTGGGCCTGATTTTTTATTTTGGGATAGATAAAGCCCGAATTGGAAATTTTTCTCATCTAGAAATGTTGGACTTTTTAATTGAATTGGGCCTATGAGCAAAATTTTTAAGCCCGTATTACTTACTCCAAAATCAAGTTTACTTCCCAACAATGAATACTAAGAATTTGACTTGTTCACAGTATAAAGGATTAATTAATTGGGGGTAAGAGTTTGTGATCTTCGGATCAACTTGACTTTATGAATTAACATGAAGCAGCAATCTTTATAAGTTAGTGACAAAATAAGTCGTTTTTCTCCTAATAATAAAATTGGACATCATTTTCTTAATCTGTAGACAAGAAAATCCATTACTAAATTGAAAATTAGGCAAAAACTGAGCATTGGTTCTATTGTTTCCTTCCCCTTGGCTACCTCCATTAATATTATTAGTAGCGAGGTCCAGATTTTTTAATTTGGGAGGGCCTAATCGACTGGCTTAGTGGTAGCAAGTAAAGAGCGACATTTTCAAAATAATAAAGTTACATAATTTAGAATAAGATTGAGAAAGTAAATGAAAATCATAGTTTCCATGTACATGACACAACGAAAATAAAATAAATAAATAAATCATTCATGATATATAACTGAAGAAAAGCACAATTTTGCTTTGAGTTAACTAATAATAAATTAAAAACTCACCAACATTATCAGGATCGTCTTCTACGAACATTTTGTAAAACTTTCTTAGTAAATGACTGTGCATCTAACCAACTTTTGACGAGATTTGTACGTAACAAATTGTGGAATTGAAAATGAATAAACTATTTAAGTTCGAAAGATTTTGTTAGGTATTGAGTATAGTGCTTTGCTAATTTTATATCTTGTAAAGTTAAATTGTACATCTCATGTAAGGAAAATATAATGCTAACGTTAGTAGAATTATGTAAAAAGGATGAATGATAAAGGATTCCAAAGATTGGGATTTTTTCGGACGCACTAAAAGTTAGGAGCACAAATTCTCCAAAAGGGAATGTAAGATTATAATCGAGAAGATTTGAACCCTTGCAACAAAACCTTTTTACAACCAAACTACAATAATATTCATCTCGAACAATTATTATTTGAAAATTCTTTTTTACATATTTTTTATCACATATTCATGCAATAAAATATTTTGCACAAATTAAAAAAAAAAAAATTGGAGATCTTGGCGGTCCGGGAGTCACCGGGACCGAGGAACACCCTTTGACATTCGTCTTCATGCGTCATGTGTGACATCAATGGAAAATTCTATACGTATAGAGTTTTTCCTTACAGGTTTTTGTCCAATCAAAAACCGTCAAATGTATTTGTACAGATTTTTGATAGTGCTTTTCATGTACGTGTAGCACAACTCGTCATCAATAAGTTTATTGAGTGATACCTAAATTGGTGGTACATAGTCATTTTGACAACTACTGCTACATATGTTACAAATTTCTTTCTTTCATAATTGCCATCTAATCTCTCAATTTTCTTGTATTAAAATTAATCCGAACATTTGCATTTATCATCCAACTTTAATTTTGAATTGGAATCAAATCACCAATTCCAATTTTATTTAAATTTGCCTTTTATTGAGATTCAAATTCCCATTCAACTGGCTCATCATTCCGATTCATTTATTTTAAAGTCAGGAATAAAATTAAAAAAAAAAAAGTTATTATTCAAATGAGAAAATCTCTCCATTGGACCTCAAATTTATTATCAGTTGCATTGTTAGTCCTAAATTGGAAAATTTTCAAATATATTAACGCATCACCCGACTCTCATATGTCTAACTTCACGATTCTAAAATTTGCTTTCCAACTTGAGTCATGTAAAAAATTTTAAAGTGATTGAAACAAATTTGTACACTTATTCATATTATGAACTAACCTGTATTTATGCAATATTAAAAGAAGCTAATAATTTTTTATCTAGTCAAATATTAATTTTAAATATATATTCATAGCTACTATCCATTTATTTTTGTGAGAACGATTGTACTTCTATCATTTAAATTTGAAATTTGTCTTGTTCCTTTTAAAGAATGAGGACTAAATTACTGCTTAGGAAATAGTCTGAGGATCAGTTTTGCAAGTTTTATAAACCGTAATGATTCAAGTTAATATGATACAATTTAATATTTCACATTTTAGAATTTTGAAGAATAAATATGCTGGTAACGCTTGAATCTTTCTTTACCAATAACCACTTGCAAGTGCAAAACATTTTTCAGACACAATCATCTATAGAGAATTAACAAGCGTCATT